TGTGCATGTTTGCAGCTAATGTCCTTGATGTTATCACTCAGACTTTAGATGGTAGTAGCTACCCATATTTGTTTTGATTGCCCCATATTCCCTGTTGATTAAATGATGGTGAGATGTTATTTCCACATTACAAAATGACTATTCCTTCCCTTTACAATTCTAATTTGCCAAAAAAAAAATCTTCATTGCACTGCACTGATGTTGTTTCATGTTTGTTCTTCAAGTTAATCTCTGAGTAAACAGTTTTTTGAATGTGACAGTTTTTATCTGAAAGGGAGACATTCCTCCAGTATTCTGTGATAAAGTACGGGTGTAGGTATTAATTTCAGAGAATGATGAGGAAAAGAAATAACAACATTCAGTTGTAGTCATAGAAGCCTTATTTTTTTCCCTTGGATGGATTTCCTTAGTTGGGTAGAGCTGGAAAATTGATTTCTTATTGATTTCATGATTTTTTTTCCCTGCACTGCAAATGGCCTTTTTGTTAAAATGAACTTTTTACCCTCCTCTTTCATCCTGTTTCTCTGTCTTGTTCTCTTTGAAACACAGTTAATTTTCCATAAAGAGGGCCCAAACACTAGTTTGTCATTGTCACTGCTAGCAGATTCTAATTTAAAGCCACCATTTCCTACTCCCCAAGAACAAGGGTATGTTTATAGTACTTAATTATTAGATGAGCAAGGCTTAGCATGATTTATAATATTTTGGGTAGTGCAGAGGTTTTGGCAAAGATTGCTTTTATCATCTTTTGACCTGTGACAGTAACTTACTATTTAATGTATTTGAAGGGTTCATATTTACACACTGTGTTTTGTTCTGTTCATGAAACATTCCTGCACTTTACACTGAACAATTACTGTTGCCAGTGCCGCTCTTTGGATTTATATCAACTGGGGGCACTATCAGAGACAACTGCAGGCAGGAACTCTTTAAGTGGAAATGTAGTGTGATGCTGGCTGAATAGAGGACTTATTAGTCAGGTTTGAGATTTTTAGAATAATTTCATATTCTTTTCAGGAGATCCGGTTTGTAATTCTAGCTGTTCTGCTACTGTGGGGGATGATTCTCAGCGCTGAAATTAACAGAAGGCAGGACGATTGCTCCTGATACCTTCCTGGTTAATATTTCAAATGTTGTGTGGAAAATATGTGTAGTTTAAGAGGACCTTAGCCTTTTCAGCTCATTTTTCTTCTACACTTTGGTTGTAAGCACAAACTGTATAGCACACTTGCCTTCGATTGATCAGACTAAATGTGATTAGAGTTAGTTTTCTAGGTTATCCCGAAAAGTAGAATAATGAGTAACAGAAATAAAATGTTACGATTCATGGGATGAAAATATATGATCTTGTTTGGGCTTTTTTTTTTTTTTTTGAGTGGGACAGGAGATATGACATCACCAGTAAACTTTCTAGCTACCGAGTACCTTTTGGAAGAGCTATTTATAGATTCGTGTAATTGGAGTAGAGGGGAAGTCCTTTACATTGCATGTGATAGGTAGCAGGAGTGCAAATGCTGTCATCCATGTGAAGTACAAGAATGGCTTTAAATACAAAAATGAACGCTTTTATAAATACCTGAAATGTAAAATGATTTTACAGCAGGAAAAAGGCAGTTAAAATACTCCTTTGAAGGTGCAATTCTTCCTGTATTATGCAGGAAGAAATCTCTATAGCAATGCTTGTCAGTGAATGTGATGTACTTTAGCAGAGGATATCTGTGCATATTTATGTTCTGTCCTGTCCATTTTCATTATATGTGGGTAAAAATTTTGGTTATTTTCATTTAAGTTAGCATGATATTTGTTAGTACTTAAACATGCCAGATGGCCAGTGATATATCACATATATACCAAATAAAATTAAAGAAAACATCTATTGAAGCCACAAGAGGTCTGTGGGGGAGAAAGAAAATACTCAAGTAGCATGGATTTAATATAAAACATTCTGCCTTGGCCAGTCTTTCTTCTAACCTCCTGAAAGAGAAAGTTTTCAAATACTGTATGACTAAGAAAATAATGTGTCAGAACTAATTCAGGGAAAGCTCTGAAACATACTTCAGCTGCCCCTGTCTAATTGCTACTTCAAGAGAATAGTGCACAGCAAATAATTTTTTTCGAATTTGAATCTCTTATCTTGTAACAGGCCATTGAGAGCAGCTCTTTAAACCTGTTCTATGCAGCATGTTCCACATGAAGTTTATCTTGGTTTTAATGTAAATTTTTGGGTTTATAAATGTAAGTACAGCAATAAAGAGGAAGAATTGATCTATTTAAGCAGATTATAGTAATTGCAACAGCATAGGTTGATCTTTTTAATGCTAAGTGACAGGAGTCCTACATAAACTACCAACCAGTTATCTTTCCATTCTAGTCTGTAAGAGCTACCTTCAACAGTATAATAATGCAGGACTTAATTTCTGCTGTTGTCAATTTATTAACACACAAAGTGGTGAACAGGAGTGATTTCTGGGCAAAACTTCTCTGGAAGAGAAATGCAAATACTAATAAGAACTTAAGTCTGATACAGGATGGACCTCCCCAGAATTTTCCATTTAATCTGATGGACATCTTTTTAACATAAGGTCTTCCCTATTTGAAATTAACAGTTTGTCTGCAAGAAGTCATAAATACACCATGCTTTCAGAGAATTGTGTTTCCACTTCTCTTTCATGATCAGTTTTTAGTAAACTAATTAACATAAATGTGAAGAATCACAGAATGGTTTGGGTTGGAAGGGACCTTAAAGATCATCTAGTTCCACCCCCCCTGCCATGGGCAGGGACCCCTTGCACTAGACCAGGTTGCTCCAAGCCTCATCCAGCCTGGCCTTGAAGACATCCAGGGATGGGGCATCCACAATTTCTCTGGGCAACCTGTTCCAGTGCCTCACCATCCTCTCTGTGAAGAACTTCTTCCTGATATCTAATCTAACCCTCCCTGTTTTCAATTTAAACCCATTACCCCTTGTCCTGTCACTACAGGCCCTTGTAAAAAGTCCCCCCCCAGCTTCCTTGTAGCCCCCTTCAGGTACTGGAAGGCTGCAATTCAACATGTTGAAAGGTTAATTTCAGTCCTCTGCTTTCATTTATTGTCACTGCTGGGTGTGCATGGTTTGAATTTTGGAAATCCCTCTTAGGGATGGCTGCTTCACAGTTGGGTGATACTATGAGAGTAGACCAAATGTCATGTAAATGTTCTGGAACACAGCACGTAAGTTGGCTCAGACGGCTTCTGCTGTAGATCAATGTCTGTATTGTTAACAGATGTCTGTCTATTGCATCAATAAGTAATAAAGTGCTTGTTCGTAATAGCTGCCAGGAGGCAATGGTTTTGTGGGTTTAGTGCGTGGCTTATCAAGAAAAACCTATATCCATATCAGATGGGCAAAGAAAATGATGAGACTATTTTAAGTTTTAGTTTCAGGATGGTGAACTACTGAAAGAAAAAACAATGCACGTCCTCTTCAAGTGTGACTATTTATCCATGGATCTCTTTTCCACACACTATTGGAATAATCCTCGTTTCTTCTTCCAGACCTCTGAATAGGCTGTCATTCATTTGTGCCTGCCATTGTTCATAGACACCCTTCTACTAATCACTGCTGGGAAACAACCATGTTCACTGATCCAGCAGTGGAGTAGCAGTACTGATGTGCAGATTGCCTGGTTTTCCCTATAAGCAATTTCAGTTGACTGGAAAAATGCTGAAAACTCTTAGCAAATTCAGTTTCCCATTAGTTGTTTTGAGGATGTTGTTGGCTTCTGCTTTAGAAAGCTTCCTTTACAATGTCTAGAAGGCTGTCTGACTCCAATCATTGGATGTGTTTTCTACTAGAGTTGGACAATCCATCATTTGTCATCGCTTCCTAATTGATACTGCAAGTAGGTTTTGTTTTCTGTCATCACTGAAATATTCTTAAAGGTTCCTTTTCCTGGGAAAGTTTGTTTTTTCATGAGAATTTATCCTTATGTTGCCAGGGTTTGATACACACTCAGAAAACACCATATATGAGACAATGCCTGACTTCCATTTCTCTGGGTTCCTGTATCTTCCAAGTGTCTTCTCAATAGGTCCTTCTCATCTGGCAAAACTGGACAGGATACCTGTTAAGGTCTTTGGCATATTTAGGATTTGGATATTAGGATTTCCTAATAATCAGAACACAGGAAGTGCTGTTTCTACTTCTCGTGTGTTTACTTCAGGTTTATTACTGGATGAAACAATAAACTGTTGTCAGTTCTTTGGGTGTCTGTAGTTTATCTTTCTCAGGGAAACCACAGCATCATTGTCACTTGCTTTTATCTTAAATTTCTGTATGTCTTGTAGCTGGTTTGCTCAACATGGTATTTAAATCCAGTGACATTCTGGGAAGTGTGTTACTACACTGTAGACTTAAATAGTATGGATAATATGGGAGGAATAAGAAATCCTTACTTTTAGTTCTTAAATGGATGCTAAACTTCCACAAGTTGAAGAGTATACAGGGGGCATTCAAAGAAGTAAAGCCATCATTCTTGCTACTTTTAGCTCTAGGGAATTTCTTTCCCATCTGTAGTCTATGTACAATATTGAATTTATTGTCCAGAAGTAAGTTGGCTACCTAAGTCAGTTGCACAATATTTGTTCTGAGGTTTTGATTCCTGTGATGCTTCCTAGAGCTTTCTTGAAGATGGGTAGCTCACTTGTCTCAAGTTCAAGTACACTGAGACAGGAAGCATTTGTACTGTCTCCGAACAAGCCAGTGATAACTAAAAATCTTTTCAAAGCACATTGCAAATAATTCAAAATACCTTTAAAGTAATTATAGTACTAGATGTGTGTTGCCTCCTAAATGGGAGTAGTCTCTATTAATATCATTAAGATTTTTGCCACTTCATGGTGTATGTATGTCATATATGCATTTCAGGAGAGTATTGTCTTTCATACTTAGAACTAGGTTTGCTACTTTGTTTCTGGAGTGTGCTTATGTTTAATGCTACCTTCCTTTTATTTCATTTCAGGAGTATGATGATGGTTATGGAACTGCTTATGATGAACAGAGCTATGATTCTTATGATAACAGCTATAGCACTCAAGCACAAAGGTAAGTCCTCAGACCTGCTGTAACTATGTTTGAAATCTGCTACTATTGGAAAGTTAGTTTTAATTAAAGATTTTTTTCAATTTCATCTTAAAAAGCAAAAATGTTATAAGAGGCTTATTAGGAATAACCCCCATTGTTATTTGTCTCTAGTATCACATAAGTATAAAAGTCAGGTTATTGAGTGGTTGAAAAGAAACAGAAATGTGAATTTCGAAGAGTTTTGGTGATGCTAAATCATAAATGAGAAAGTTTTCAAAAACTCAGAAAATGCAGGAAAATTTAATTCAGATTGATTTTGGAAGGAGGTGGAGGCAGGAAGAGTAGAAAAAAAGACTTTATAAAAGGTATTGAATTATCTGAAACAGAGCTGATTGCATTTTCTTACTACTTAAACATGTTTATATTCCAGTATTTTACCTTTATTTTACTGTAAACAAAACAAAAGAAAAAAAGTAGTATAGCCTTTAGTTTGTTTTATTGCTTTGTGGAATTGTCTTCAACAAATTTAAGATCTCTTGCCATTTGTGTTCCTTCACCCACTTCATTCTCAACAGTATTTTTTGAAGCACTTCTGATTTATTTTCTTAAAACTTGGCTTTCATCAAAGGAGTTGCTATTTAGAAACTCCATGAATTACAAGGAATCTAATGTGTGCCAGGGATGAGAAATGCAATGAAGTACAAACTGCTTGTATAAGGTGGTTGTTTAAACTTAATGGCAAATAAGACATGGCAGCTTGGCTGATCATCCCCACTGTTAGGTGCTTCTGATGCGCACCTCTGGAAAGGGACATTCAGTGCACCTTTTACTGAGTTACATTCTCACTCTTTCTCTTAAACCAAGCATTCATTGTTTGATCACTAGTCAGTTTTGGAATGCATTGAGAATTTCTTGAAACTTACAGCTATAAACTTGAAATAGTTGAAACAAGAATGTGGAGAGAATGGTAAAATAAAATAAAATGCTGTAGTTCTGCATTACTTCTTTGGATTTATGGGTGATCAAACCTTGCTCTCTGAGAAGAAAAAGAAAACAGGAAAGGTAAATATTGGTGGTTAGTGTTGATAAATAGATGCTGATGAGACTGATTTACCTTCTGCTAAATATTTAAGACTTTTAACCATGTAGCCTTGTCTGAAATAGTACAGAACTGTTCTCAACTTTGCTGTGAATAAAGTTGTTTACACCTGACATCTGTTTTGCTGTAGTGTTCACATACCCAACTTAAATTTTATTGTATAAATTAATATTTTCCTGTGTCCAACAATTTAGTTAATGTGAAAAAGTTTAGTGGAAAGTTCAAGTGTCATTATTGTTGAGAACTAAGAGAATGAAAATCCCTTTTTCTGATACTTGGAGTCTACAGAATCTTGTAAGCTACTGAAAATTGGTAAAAATTATGACTTAAGAAACCAGCAGTGTAGGACCTTCAAAATACAAGCCTCTGTAGGATGTTACATTTAGAGAGCAGCTGCTGGCAATGGATTTTTTTTTTTTCCCCAAAAGAAAATTACCAAAATAGTCCTCAACTTTTATGTTGGTAATTCTGTTCTGTTTTATTACTTCTAGTGTTGGTAAATGGTTTTATTGCACACAAAGATTTGGACTTCATTACAAAGTCATTTGCCTGAGCCAAAACTAAGCATTACTTGGATTTGATATTCTTTTCCATGTTAAGAAGGTTTTCACTAATGTTTTTTTCCTTTGAACTAAAATTATCAAGAAGCAAGTCTCCCAAGGAATGAAATTGCTCTTGTAAAGAGCTAATACAAAAAACCATATATAATATTCTTAGGTATGTGGTCAGATGCTTAGCCCAGAGATTTTTCATAAAATGATTTCTGTGCTCTGTATTTTACCTGTAGTTTCACAATACATATGCTGTCAGATTTTCTTGAATTCGTTATCTTCTGAATGATTATTTTTTTTTTCCCCTTAATTTTAGTAAGTGCTGCATGGTAAAAAAAACCAAGAAAATATTCAGTTATACGTTTCTCACGGGGTGTTGCCACTCATTTTCTGGCTTGGCAAAAGGATTTTTAGGATTGCATTGGCAGACAAAAAGTAATAACTATAAACAGCCATCTGAGCTACCTAGAACAGTGTTCCTATCTTTAATCTGAATATAAAATAGTAGCCCATATTGCAAGATGTCATTTTGTAACCACTAAGAGATACTTACCATATTTAGGTGCATTACAGTGTCCGTACTATGAAGGAAATTAGGGAAAAGTGTATTGTTTTCACAGTCTAGCCTTGTATCGTCTTGATATTTTGCCCTCATAAAGCATGGGAAGAAAATACATTTGCGTACAGAGGGCGTTCACGTGTTTAAAGTGCATCATTTAGTGACTAGTATGTGTAAATAACTTTGCCTCTTTCCTTTTCTAAGTTGAAAGTAATTTTTAAAAGTCACAGTATTTCTACCATGTCTTCTGATAGTAATTTCTCTGGAAAATTGTGGCATTAGTGATACTGTGTCTTGAAGAGGCAATTTGAAAAATATCTAGTAAACTGAAAAGATGGATTTGGTCACTGAACATTCTTCCTACACCTCTTCAAACTTGATTATTGTTTCCAAGGGTACATCGTGTGTACAGTCCACATGTGTGAAGACAGTTCAAGTACTCACTTGTTTTTCAAAGGATTTGCTTATTTTAGTGATTCCTCTGTTAAAGATGGGAACTTGCAATCAAACTGGATATATGTCTAGAAATTTTGTAGATGTATAAGGCGTTGCATGACAGCAACATCTTTCTCTGTGTGCAGGACTGCATTCTCCAGATTTGACCATTCAGTACAGCACAGCACAACTCCCTTTTATTGTTTTGAATTTTGACGTGTCTAGTATGTTTCTCTGAAGTGGCCAAATCTGAGATGGGTGGGTGATATGTTCAGATATGGAGCATAGCATACTGTCTATTTCTGTGAGCATTAAGGTAGTTGAGACTTTGCATGCCTTTGCAAACATTTCTTTTGCTCTATAACCTAAGTGCTTGCTGCTACCAAATCACGTGTGTTTCAGAGCTTAATAGCGTTTTATTTGACGTTGTGTGGGACTGTATCCTTGCTGTGTTTTGCAATCTGAAACTTTGCTTAAAACCTGTCACAGCACTACTAGGCAGAGAAACATTAAAGTTTTCTCCAAGTTCTTATCTATCTTAATGCCCTGTAATGCTATAAAAAATTGTATTCCTTAAAAATATTTTCTTGTCCACAGTTGTCTGTTTGTGCAACAAGGCTGCAAATAGTGCTTCAGGATGTCTTTGAACAGACTTATTTTTTAAAGGTCAGAAAAACTTTAAAAAAGAAAAAAATTCCCTTGGAGCTGTACAGTTGTTTACTAGATATATTAACTGATTTTTCAGAAGAGATGTGACTAAATTACATGTATAGTTCTTGCAGAAAATTTTTAGATTATATTTTTACCAGTATAAACTGGGACGGTTAATCAGCTCACTGTTCAGTATTGTTATAATAAACCAAAACAATCTGAAATAATAAATATTTCACAAAATATTTCTTAATTTCTGAAAATCAAAGGCTAGCTAAGAGCTAGAGCAAGATCTTAATAGAGGATAACGAATGCTGTCAAAAGCTGTAGCCATTTATGCCTGATACTCAGTGCCTACCTAAGGACAGCAGCAAGAGTAGGCTGAATGTTACTCTCACGCAGGGAAGATTTCATGTTACTCAGTCAGCAATTCCTTCATAAAACTTATTTTATATGTGTATGTAGTAATTTAGCATGTCCAGTTGTCTGCCAAAAACCTTTCTGCGATATTCATGGTAGAATGTGAGTTACAAGTGTGAAACACCCCACTCGTGGCTGATGGTGCTGATATTTCCGTGTCAGTTGCATGTATGTCAGCTCCCCTCATGAGCGCATATGTGTGCTTATCTACACAGCCTCTTAAAGGAGTTCCCCGAATCTGTCTAGAACTGTAATCCTTTACTTGAATTTATTGCAGAAATTAGTGGGTGTTTTAATGGCCTGATAGCATTGCTAGACCAGTTTTATTATGAAAATTCAGAGAATACTGTGAAGGAAGCAGGAGCATTTAGTTCGGTCTTCATCCAAATTTTTAGATCATTTTCAGCCTGAAGACAAATTCTATTTGTTTTAAATCTCTGAGATGTTTCAAATGGAGCAAAAGTGCTTTCGTCCCTTAGTGGCTCCATACATGATGTGCACAAGTGTTTGCGATGACAATAATAGGGCAAAGGGAAATGGATGCTAATAAATCAATTGGCACTGTCAGTTTACAGTTTAATGTTCTCTAGAATACATAAGATTTATCACTGAGGAATTGTAGAATAATGGTAGTGTATGGAAACAAAGTCCACCAGGGAGATGTACTACATCATTCGGATTTAGCACTGCCATCTGCTTAATAGCATTGAGATGACTACAGAGGTACTTATGATCAACCATTCATAGCAGTGACAGATGCTGCCGAGAGTTAACATGCCAGAGAACGAGGTTCGTTACTAAAATTCAGATTATGTGACAAGGTTGCCGAGAAAGGGGGCTGACTTTGTTACCTCTCCAACAGCATTAAAGGTTTACTGTGTGCTTTTAAGTTTACTGTCAAGAGAGAAAGGCTAACACAGTTACTGTAGGACAAAAAAAAGTGGAGAACCCCATCTGTCTGCTTCATGGCACTTAGAAGTTTCAAATAACTTCTGTAGGCTTGTCTGCTAGCATTTAAGACAGGATACTTCTAGAGAAAAAAAAATGCTTTTGTCTAGCTTCATTGTTTTTTTTCCTACAACAGAGATCAGCAATCTCAACTACAAAAGGAATATTTGTATAACTACATGCCTCTCTCTGTTTAGGGGCAAGAATAAGTCATTTTGTGTTATAATTATAACTTATTTAGAATTTTAAAACTGTTTTTAGATCTTCAGTCAGGGTGATCTTACCTTCACTCCACTGCGGAATTTAATCTAAACACTGAGATAAAAGGGGAGGATTAGGACTTCTGGTAATTACTGGC